TTCAGCAACCTGGGCTGGCATTTCCTCAGGGGCAAGTGAACGAGGTTGTTCTCCACGTAGCTCTGGGGCTTTTGAATGAAGTAACCCCGGGGTGCAGCTAAGAGCATGTCCCCGCTAAGGTGAGCGTGTGAGACAAAGGCTGCAGTGAGCTCTGGGAACGGAGCATTCCTTGTCCATGCACACATGTAGGTTGTGCACTGGGAGCTTCTGCTGGCTGCAAGGGCACTTGTGTTCACGCAGCCGAGGTGTCCTGTTGGGTTTCTGTTGCTGAAAGCAGCGGGGCAGGAGCAGGGGTTGTGTTGGTGGTTTGTGCTTTCGGAGGCATCCAGGCATCAGCAATGCTGACCCAGTGGTGCTGCCGGGGCTGCTGCTGGAGGATGGGGTGCACGGCTGGGCCATCAGGCCAGTGTGCTTCCCCCGCTGCCTGCTCTGTGCTGAGGCCAGGCCACCACCAGCATAACCCCTTGTGCTGGTGGAGGAGGGCTGCCCTATTGCGTGATGAAACACTCGCTGGTGTTTGCTCCATGGTGGGGAGTGTGTGACCTACCCAGTGCCATGCTCCTTGGTGGTGGCACAAGGTGGGCTTCAGGGTCCATCCCAGCCTGGCTACACACGCACCTTCCATGGCAGGACTCAGGTTGAGACCTTGCTGCCAGAGAAGGATGTCCTGATCTCCTTTTGCAGCCTTCCCTGACTCATCTGAGGACCGAGTGCCAGAGTGGATATACCACATTGTACTGTTGCTATATTATGCCACTCATGTAATGTGTCACTGAAGTACCCTATGGTCTGTGGGAAGGAGCAGGGAAGTCTGCCAAAGACATTCCCAAGAGTCCACCTCAGATATCTTTTTCTTCTCATGTGCCAAAAGTTACTGGCTCTGATCTGAGGGGTTTGCACATCAGAGGTCTCCTTGCCTCAAACCTGCCATGAGGCACTTCTGTGTCCAGGGCAAAGGGTTTTTCCAGCTCTTCTGCCTGCTGAGCCACTGCTGGTTGGGACCTGTGCTCCTGAGACCTCGGACTTTAATTCTCCGTGTTTGAGCTGCTGTATCACAGCTCAGGCTCACACCTGCACTTTGAGGTAGCAGATCTGAAATTAAAAGTGGGTCTTTTCCTGTCTTTTTCTGGCAATTATTATTTCTAGGATGGTTGTTTATGTGTTCAGTCACAGAAGCGTATATGCAGGGTTAGTGGACCTCATGTGAAAAATTTCTGGTAGTGCTAGAAAAATGATTGCCTGTTTGGTTTAGCACTGATAAATAAATCTTCATCTGAGGAACATGGGGAGAGAACAGGGTCTCCCTCCAAAACCCAGAACACAGACTGAGTAATTGGACTCTGCAGGTGGTCTGAGTGTCTGTTGCTTCCTGCTTTGTGGTGGATTTGTCAGGAAGAGGAGCAGTTACCTGACCTGGTCTTAATCCAGTATATTCCTTAAGAACAACTAAAGCTGTGAGATGAGTGAATTAAGTCTGGAGTATATAACCTCATCCCAACTAATTATCCAATTGTTTTGCTTGAACGTCTGTTGTTATCTGTGTGGGTAGGGAAATTCAGCCTCTGAATGGAGACACAGTGTAGTTTTGAATGCAAGTAGTATTTTCAGTGGCATGACTCTACTACTGCATATGGCTGTTGTACAATCTTGTACAACCATGCTTCACATGAAAGGGACATTGGCTAACAGCACTGTTATTGTAAGCTAAGGATTACTTGCAGGACTGAAGAGCTACTCTGAAAAGGGAAGGATTTGTTCCTAAAAGACCACCTCAATATTTGCCTATGTTTTTCTGATGTTCAAGTAGGTCCATAGTAGTAAGAATTTATCTGCATTTTCAGCTATGAGCTCCATTTTGTAGGTTCACTAAGACTTTACATCAGTTATGCTAACTTAGCAATCCCCTGTTTGACTTACCTTAACTGTGGAGCCAGAGAAGTCTGAATGTACTTCTTTCTCCCAATATAAGTTGGGAATTGTGAACTGAAGCTGCTAATTTTATACGGCTTTATTCTCTGAGAATTTTTTAGAAGTTGTATTATTACATAGTCATTGAAAAAGAAGCTAGGAGGTCGTTTAGAGCAGCTTTGGTGACTGGGAGATTGGTGCCTTGGTGAAACTAATTTGGTAGAGTTGAATGGAAGCTTGAAGAATATTTTGCATGAAATTGGGAGGTAAGAAATGATGAACTAGCACTTCAACTAAAGAAATAAGGAAATCTGGAAGAATATACTGATGCCTTCATTAAACTGGACACTTCTAAGAGTGTGAGTGGAGTTTCTGAATACATGAGAGAGCAGTTAAAAAAAGGTAACTGTTAAGCAAGGAAACTTTAGTTCTTGGCAACATATTGAGTAAATGACAAAGAATGATTAAAAGTGCTGCCATGTAGAATCAGGCTCATATGTTCTTGAATTTAATTTTTAAATAGCTTGGGTCTGTTCCCATTCAAAAGCCAAACCATTGCAGAAGCGGGTGCATCTGAAATGAGTTTCAAATGGTTTTTTGAAGGCCAGTTTCTATCTGCAGTGGTTGTTTGCTCTGTGTGCCAAAAGTCTTACAAGCCGTAAGGTGTCAGTAGAATTGCACAGTGCCATTGCAGCTTAGTATTTTAAAGAAGTAATTCCCAAAATATTCACTGCACATATATAACTATAAATAACAATTTTGCTGCAGAAAAAAGGGGAGTGTTGTATTGACAGGTGTTGTATTTTGTGCCTTTTTGTTTTCCCCCAGGTGGTTCACTGCCCCATGAAGAAGCTTCACTGGTTGTGAATAAAGGGGAAGAATTAAGGTTGAGGTGCAATGAAAATGGGCCTGTGACTTGGAATTTCCAGAACTCGGACCCATCGGCAAAAGCAAGGAGTTCCAATGAGAAAGAGTGGTACACCAAAAATGCAACAGTCAGAGACACGGGGAGATACACGTGCAAGAGCAAAGGGAGTATTGTCAACTCTTTTTATGTTTTTGTTAAAGGTAAATATCAATTAAGGCATTATTTTTGCCTTCCCTCTCTTTTCCACTCTCAAAATAATAGGACAGTAAATGCTGGAGGAGGGAATGAATTTGATGAACAAAGGGAGAACAGTCTGATATAAGAAATCATCTTCCCTGTCCACTAGAAAGAAAACTCACTCCCAGTTTTGCTTGCAGTGGGCTTTGTTGTGAGAGCAATGTTCTGGATGAGTTTCTCTTTACATCCATGTTTCTTGTGGTGAAATATACCTGAGCTGTCTTTCTAAAAGGTAGCCAAGTGACCGGAATCAGTTGTATGGGTCATTTGTACTGTGAGGAAGCAAGCAGTACACATAAATGTTTTTTTAATTCCATGCTATTCACCAGTATGGAGTCATGTAAGGTTTGGCCCCAAGCACTTGATTTATCAAGATGGTTAGCTAAAGGATTTGGCTTTTTGAGGCTGTCCTCTCAGGGCTTAGCCAGCAGGCAGCAATGATACCTCTGCCTCTAGCTTCTGATCTACCTTGTGACTGATCAGAAGTGTCCCGCTTGGGAAAAGAGTGCCTCTGCTCTGACACATTTTTGCAATCCTTTATTACCCTGTTTGTGCACTGTTTTCTTCAGGTTTCTTCTCCTCTTATGTTGGCCACAGATCAGGCTTCATCAGCTGCCCCCAAGCTGACAGTGTACCAATCCTGGCATTCTCTTTTTCTTTCCAAGGAAGACAGTTATTTTCCTGCTTCTTCACATAGCTCCGGTGATCTTTCTTCCCTGTTGATGGAAAAAAGTTCTACAACATCCATCTTTTTGCAGACAGTAGTCCTGGTCCAACAGGAGTTGTCTCAAAGAGCCTTCTCTGAGCCCTGCCAATCTTTTGAGGCTTAACTGCAAGATTATTCTCCAAGACAGGGAAATACCAGCACAGCACAGTGAAGAGTATTTTCCCAAGGGAAGATATCTGACATAATAACCATAGAGTTTAAAGAATGCTGCTTTAACTGCTCCTGAGTGCTCCAAATAACCAGGCAGCTACCGTGGATGAGTTTTCTTGACCACCTGTGTTTCTCTGAGACTATGGCTAAAGGAAATCTGGCATGTATTTTACCTAAATGTGACAAACATTGTTGACTTTATCTACTATGACTGTTTTCCTGAAGGTCATGGTAATTATCCCAGACAGCTGTGATCATAGATGTGTTTGTGCCTTCCATCACATGACTCCTTCACCTCAGGATAACAGGCAATCCTCCCACTGAGCATGATTACCAAAGCATCAGAGTTGTTTGGCCCATATGCAATGTGTTGTTAATTTCTTTGTCTTAATTGTGTGAAAAATGTGCAGCCTTCACTTTGACAAATTCCTGGAAGTAAACGAAGTATGTTTGTGAGGTTGGCCATCATCTTGCAATTGTCTTTGGCTTTATGACATCTTACATCACCTTGAAGATGCTACTATGAGCTCAGCTGCTTGTTACGCTGCCACAAGTACCTCATACACTTTCTGCTTTTAAAGCTGGGCGTGGAGAACAGAACCAAGAACCTTGATCCAAGTGGCACATAAAATGGTGACAGCTGTTCATCTCTTACGTCCATCTGGATCTACTAAGAACAAATTTTCTATGTTTCTGTGACCAAGGATGACACAGTATTGTCAGACTGTGGGTGTATACCTCTCAGCTTTCTGCTTTGGCAGAAAGTGTTGGTGTTCCATCTATAGAAGCAGTTTGTGTCCCTATCCAAGCAAATTTAGTGAAGATCAAGATAGTTAAGGACATCTACATATACAAGAAAAATCTCTTGGTTTTGATCTTGATCTCAGGTCTTTTTTCCCTTGGGGAGCCATACTTCCATCATAGTTAAGATATCTTGGCTCTGTCCATATTGGAGAAAAAGTGGACTGAGAGGAAACCAATCAGCTTAGTCTCAAGCAGCAGGGATAGAGACTTAGGAGCTTTTCTAGTCCATTCTCTCTCACCCCAAGAGTGACAGCTATTCATGGTATTGCTCTAAGTATCTCTGTATGCAAAACATCACGCTTTGGTTCTGCTTAGACACGCCTTACTTTTTCATTTATTATTTCTACTTCTTTACTAGTTCATTTGTTTCATCTACTTATTGCATTTATTAGTAGTCTCCATCCTCTAGATCTAGACTGATGTGTCAAAGCTTTTAGTTTGTGGGGGTATCTTGGGTGCCAGTATCAAATGAGATTAAAACTGCACCCTCACTGTAAGCTAGAAACCAGCCAATAACTTCTCTACTTAGTGATGAGCACCCTTTGACTTTGTATTTCCTAATTACTTGTGCAAATGTCCCGTGTTTCATTTTCAGACTAGTGCTTGTCTTAAACCAAATGCATGTTGTCCATATTCCTTACCAAATTCTCTCAGTTTTCCTTGTTAAGTCATGGTTTGTTGATCTCTAATCGTTCAAGTTGTATGAAGCCAGTTTGCAAAAAAGAAATAAAACTTTTCCCTCTCTTTCTGTATTTCTAATTCATGCTACTCTGTAGGGAGGGCAAACGGGAGCTGAAATAAGCTTTTACAGAGAGTCACCACACCATCTTTGATTTTTGGCCAGGTTCTTAGCATTTCAAGGTCATCACATATCTTGGGCTTTAACTGTAGTAGTAAAGGTATTTAAAGTACTATATGTTTGTGTGCTGGGGTTGGCTAATGAAATGCTTTAGAGAAGTTACCCTGTGAAGATTACATGATGATTTTTCAATCAGATATGCTGTTTATATGCCTTTTATATATATATATATTTATTTATTAAGGAGACTAAAAATAACCCCGGTTTTCAGGGAGGGGAAAAAGAGAGAGAAGTTCTTTGGTGCTTCCTCTGGTAGCAATGTGTGTTCGTTTAGATTATGTATTTTACAGAAGTGAAAACCATAATTTAGGTGCTTTTCAACTTCCATTTGCTCGTAAATTTCTTCAAGATCCTCCTGTGGGCATGAAACCTTACAGCCCGGCCGCTAGCTAAAAGCAAATTACTTTTAATGGTCTGTGAAAATCTGTTTACTGTTAGTGGAGGTGGAGGGTGGAGGTTTTGGAGCTAAACAAGGCAAAAAAAAAGTCTCCCATCTCCAAGTAAAAAAGCACTAAGATTATTTTTAGTGCACATGATTCTTTAGTGTGTCTGGTATTGAATGCTACTGCACATTTCCTGTTGTGCTGCTCTTCTAGGACAAAATTTAATGTCTCTTGGTAAACATGAATTGGGTAATAGTTGTTTTTACTGGCTGAATATAAAACTTTCTTTGATGTAAGTGCCCAGTTGCAGAGTTAGGGTCATCAGAAGTTCCCTATGCAATGTCAGCTGTTCTGACAGGTCTTGTGTTTGTTCACAGATCCAAATGTGCTCTTCCTTGTTGATTCTCTCATCTATGGGAAAGAAGACAGTGACATCCTGCTAGTGTGCCCACTAACAGATCCAGATGTTTCAAATTTCACACTGAGAAAATGTGATGGCAGACGTCTTCCCAAAAATATGACGTTCATTCCCAATCCCCAGGAAGGCATCATTATAAAGAACGTGCAGAGGTCATTTAAGGGCTGCTACCAGTGCTTGGCCAAGCACAACGGAGTTGAGAAAATATCTGAGCACATTTTTCTGAATGTGAGGCCAGGTAACGCAAAAATGTTGCCTTCTTGTAGAGCACCTGATTTTATACCCTTTGCTTTCCAGGAGCTGATGGGAAGTGCTGTGAAGCCTTGCCTTTGTCTTGACCTTGTCATGGGGAGGCTGGAGGTAGTGGTCTCCTCTAGGGGGCTTTTCAAGTCTTCTACTCAAAGCCAGAGATGCTTACACACCAGGGGATTACTCTGGTGTCTGTGGCTGCTGCAGGCTGTCCAGAGGAAGGTGGGGGCTTAGAAAGGTTGTTTTGGGCAAGGTGTGGTGGGGTACAGATTGATCGTGTGACACTTGGCTTGTGGCTGTGCCAAGTGGCTTTGGCCATGATCATGTTTATTTTCTGTTCCTGGTGATTTCCAGATGTTTTTTTTCACCATTCTAAGTAATTTGGGTTGTGCTGTTTTGAGCACAAACCCTGAGGTTTGGACAGGTTTCTGCAGGCAAAGTGGAGATTGGGACCTGAGTCACATGCCTGAGTCACATGTCTGTTGCCCACAAGTGACAGCAAGAGGAACTGATTGATGGCACTGAAGAAGAAGGATTCAGTGGAGAGGCAGAGCTTGGGGCAGCAGAGGGCCCTTGTTTGTCTCCATCTTTGTGAGGATGGTTACAACAGCAACCATGTGCCCAGATCATGATGAGGAGTGTGTTGTGGCTGAGCTGCTGTATGCAGCTTAGCTGACGCCATGCCTTTGATGTTCACACATCCTTGTGCTGCATCACTGGCTGATTAAGTGGGTTGGGAAGGAGAAGCCCAGTGCCCAGCTGTGCAGAGCGTTACAGGCTGGTTCTGTCTGGGCAGTTTGGAGCCTGCGGTTACCCCGTGTGTCATTAATCCACTGTAGAAG